ATAAATGTATATATGACTATACGCATGTGTATAAAGGTAATTATGAGTAACATTATTACTTATTTCCGATTTGGTAATTTATATGTGTTCTAGCTAAAATTCAGCGCACTGAAAGTTAATTCAGCAACCCTTTTTCTACAAAATTATAAGGCTAAAATTCAGCTATAACAGTGAAAGTGAATTTGCTTGCTATTATGCATACCTACAGTGAATTCAGCAAACCATTCGTGGTAAAAAATATTTAGTTGTTGTTTTGTATTAATTAAAAGTTAGATTATTTGTTCAGCACACTTTCTGTCAATTCAGTAAGTCCTATTAATTATATTGTACTGCTGAAATATTATCTACATGAAGCAAATCCCCTGACATGATATTCAGCGGTCTTAAAATCAATTCAGCAAAGGATTTTGATATCGCTGGACATTGCTATAGATAAAAGAGATTGGTTTGGTGAACTGCTCGCAAGCGCAAATGCCAGTAAATTTAATTCTATTTTTTTAAATATATAATTTTCTATTCACCAAATCTTCCAAGCCAAGTCAAAAGCAGTAAAAGCGTGTATATCATGCCATGTCTAATTACAAACATTTTTCTTCTATCGCGATCAGTTCAAAGAAAATCACTTGAAAGCCTTACAAACAAGAATTTAAGCAGCCCAAATTATATATATTCAGCAATTCTTATAAGCCGATATTTAGGCAAGCATTTTTTTCCTCTTATTCATGACGACGTAAATTTTGTTTGTAAGAAAATCAGCTAATGTGCAATGGTTAATTACAAAATAAATAAATTATAGTGAAAAGCAAACTCACTGCACTTGTAGTCAGTTCAACAAATTCATTTATATACTTTTCATTAATATCACTAATGTGTTCAGCAGCGAGCAGTCCATATTATACGAATTTCTAGTTGTAAGGAAATAAATTTCATGGAAATCTACCTTCATTTATACTAATTCAGCGGACTTAAAATCAATTCAGCAAGCTCGCTTGTTATCGGTCCTGGAACATAGTATTCCGTTTTATTGGAAATATTAATTTAATTCTGAACAGCAATGCAGATATTATCATTAATTCATTTTTTTATAATAAAGTGTTTACCAGTCTCAAGTAATAAAGTTAAAAATGTAATTCAGCTCAATTTATGTCAATTCAGCAAGTTCACTGAGCAGTTATATATGATGGTGTAATTAAAAAATCATTAAATTTATAACAAAATACTCGTTAGATAATAAAAAATACATTTCTTCACACTTTTAGACAGTTCGGCGTATTATTTTACTCACCGGTTAACCATGTTTTCATATGAAATGCACATATAAATCGCTGTTGATTCAGCGCATGTTATATTAATTCAGCAGGGTTTTTTCTTATAAGTTTAAAAACTTTATGTTACATTTTTTTTAAATATTTCAATCCAGTTGCTATTCAGCACAGTTATCATTACCATATTTGCTCTTCTATGGCAAATCAAGGGTTGTTTGTTAACTCATCATACATAAAATTTTAAATTGATTTAGATATATAATTTAAATAAGTCAATATTTGCATTCAGCGTACTTTTTATACCTGAAATCATTTCTTTTTTAAACAAAATTTAACGCATTAACCCGAGAGTTTACTAGAAATCCGCCAATTGTAAGCTCATTCTCTATGAATATGAAAAATATCCCTGCCATTGAAATGAAATCTAAGAAAACTTTTGCTGAATTTAATACAACTCACTTTCCAACAATTTTCGCTTTCCTCAGCAATACGCGAAATATACAAGTATATATACAAACACATATACAAAAAATATGCATTCCTGCCAAATGCCGCTGGCAAATGCGCAACATTTTATGCAATCAGAAAATGGGCGAAAAAAAATTACATTCAAACTGACGCGAATTCTCGCATTTCATGGCTGGAGGTCAAAAATCATGCACAAACATAAATACTTATACATGTAAATAATTTGCATATGTATGCATATTCATACACTCAAATATCCATGTATGTCAGGTAGGTGAATTGTTGTTATTTTTATATAACTGCGGCTGTATATATGTATGTATGTTTATGTACGTACAAGGGTATATAAATTTCAACAAAAATTGCTCTGTAAAAGACAGGGACTTTTGCAATATTATTTGTATGTATATAAATTACGTTCACAAATTCATAAAATATATTAAATAAAAATTCTCCCAAAACATATATGAAATACCAACAAACTTCACACACATACTTTTACATATGCATATACTTCCATACTTGCATTTGCTGAGCTTATGAAATTTATTTAATTTAAATTTGAAAATAAATAGAATTAAATTTACTTTTTAATTCGATTTATATAAATATATTAACGCGACTTATCAAAATATACCGCTAAAGGCGTGTGTGACAACCAAAACATACATACGAGTATACATACATATACATATATGCAAACACTCACTTGCGCATATGAATAATCAAGTCATAGCAAACAGCACCATGGATTTACAGCTTAGGGCAAATACGATTTCCAACAAAAAATTTAATAATGGGAAAAGTGCCAGGTGCATTTTGGCAATTTTTAGAACTTTCAAAAAATTAATAAAATTTGCGTAATTAAGTTATTAAATTATGAAGTAAGCTCATTTAGTTGGCCAAAATCTAAATGCGTAATTTATTCATGAAATTTCTAAACGAAATTCGGGTGAATGTTAAGAATTTGCGAGAGTTGTAATAAATTATAAAGTAAATTCAGCACTTTTCTCGACCTAAATTTTGAATATATTGAATTTTGTTAAAATTTTTAAGTGATCTAGTAAATCTATAAACTTTATATTAAAGAAGCTGAATATAGTTCCTGGCAATTGAAACTACCAGCAAAGCGTTTACTTCGCTCTAAGTCTAGATGAAAAGTAAATTAATTATTAAAATTTCCAACTAAATTGGAAGAACGCTGAATTAATTTTTCGAAAGGAGAATTGCTTCAAGATGCTGCCCATTGTCTTTAAAATAAACATTTTCTCCATATAAAACGAGCTGCATTATTTCAGTACATAAAAAGTGAGAAATTTGTATGTTTTGTTTTTAGTAGGGTATTGAGAGTGTAAAAATTTTTGCTGAATTTGCACTAAAGTGGGCCGAGTAGGTTCAAAATTTTAAATATCTCTTTGTGTCTTTATAGAACTCAACAGTTCACTTTTTTGGGTTTGCTGAATTCAAACAAAGTGTGCTGAATTGGTTCAAAAATCTCATATTTGGCTTTCATGTTCATATGCAAATATTATATATGACATATAATGATCTAGTTTTTTGCGAGCTGAGTTTAATTAACATTATTTCCATTAAGGTTTCAATGCTCGTAAGCTAAACAGCGAAATGTTGTTATCTCTAAGTTTTTTATCATAATTTTCTGCTAATTTTGCACAAACTGTCGAAAAGGATGTAAAATCTATTAGATTGCAATTTAAACGAATTTATTTTATTTTAAGAGCTGAATTGCTTTTAAAGCTGATTATTCTATAGCTGTTTCGCTAGAATGTATGCTTTGAGCCAAAATGATATTTTGCTGAATTAATTGAAATAGCACTTAATAGCTTTTAAAATTATTATTACTAGCACCATTGACAATAATCTTTATCTGAATTTCTCAAGGATGGTGCTGAATGAAATAAACTTACGCTAACAACCTTCGAATCATTTCAAAACGGACTACTTAATGATCAGTATTGTAAGATTTTCCGAAAATCAGCTGAATGACTTTGAAAATTGTTTATTTGTAATTGTGTTGATGCAGATTTGTGTTTTAGCTTTTGAAAATCAGTGCTGAATTATCTATATAAATTGGAGCTGAGTTATATAAGTTTGGAGTGAATGTCTTTCGGAAGTTCAATTATGGGCTTACAATAGGAAAGTTTGAAAGCCTGTTTTAATAACTATGATTATTTACAACAAAGACCTTTTCAAAAAGTAGTGCTGAATAAAACAAAATTACATGAAGTGCGCATAGAGGAGCTGAATTAGTTGGGGAATTGATTTTTTGTGATAGTAATGACTAAACTCTTGGATAAACTTTCATAAAATAGTGCTGAATCATAAAATCTAGCGCTGAATTTTATGAATAAGCGCGAAATAGCTTTTAATAGTTTGTTTTTAATTATTTGGAATAAAAAGTAATTTGATAGTACGAATTTTTTAAAAGCTTTTCAGAACTTGAAATATTTTCATTTCATTCGCTAATGCTTAATTTCAAAAGTAATTTTATTGCCTTAAGTCGCCAACAGTACGCAGAGTTACACAAAATTCCAACACGACTTTCCTTAATCACGCTGAATAGCTATAGCAGCCACTTACTTTACTCACAGCTTAACAGACTTAAGTGACTTAAAAGCGTTTAATATGCTAAAGAAGAAGCAAAAAATAAAATAAAAACTTTAACAAAATATAGTCAAAATAGTAGTTGAAAACATTATGCGTTGCATAATTTTCGGCGCATCAGCGCTGAATACAAAACGCCAACGCCAGCAGCAACGTAATTACTATTTAGTTATGCAAAGTGTGCAATTGCAAATACTAAATAAAATAACGAAGACTCCGTGAAAACAGCAACTGCCGCCATAGAGATAACAACACAACATACAATGGACCGAAATGAACACAGAAACAACAAGTGCAATAAAGAATAGACAATGACATGACTTAGTTGCACTATAAAAACACCCACACAGGCATACAAACAAACAGGTATTAAGGCAGCTCATAAACGACTTAAACTTTATGGCCTTAGACACCTTTAAACGGCTGAGAGCAGCATTGAGAGTGTAAGTGTGCGGAGTAGTTAGAGTTTTGCTCAAAATTTTCACGCACTTACTAATAACGGTACTTATGCCAGTTACACCATTAGATTTAAGACACTTAATATCTCGCTCTTCTCTTACTTATACTAATTCCTTATATTTGTTTTATCTCCCTCTCTCTCTATCTCTCATTCTCTCCATTTTTCTTCTTGTTTTTAATCCGCAGGTGGTGCATGCCATGGATCGCACCTCACGCGCCACCGATTATCGTTTCATTAAAGAGCCAAATGGCGCACTCACCATCACCAATGTAATGCTCGAGGATGATGGCAAGTGGCAGTGTGAGGCGGAGAACTCGCGCAGATATACGGAGAACGCGAGGCCCGTTAAATTGGTGGTATTAGGTGAGTAACAACAACCAAGAGCGTGAGTTGTATGAGCGAAGAGTAACATTTAGTGCCCAAAACGTGCTGTGTAATTTAGCGATGTAAAGTTATATATATATATATATATGTGAGTGTGGGTGCATTTGAAGAGGAGCACAGCTAAAAGAGACAACTATTGCACGCTAATACCAGCATAAAAGCCTCTAAGTAGTAATCAACGCAAATTTTACTGCACAATTTTGGAGGCTAGCCTAAATGGCTGAACCTTTAGTGGAATTACTCTTTGAGAAAATTGGAGTGTAAGAGAGTGTAGTGTAGTTGCACTGAGAGAAACCAAACACGCTTTTTGCAAACAATTAATATTTTTCGTAAAACTAATATTTCTTCTTAATATTTAATATATTTAATATTTCTTCTTTATAAACATTCAAAATACAAATTGAGTAGCGCTGAATAGAGCTGAATGATAAATATTTGATAGTAAATGATTTCTAGCGAAAAATGAAGGTGTTCTATGAGCTTTTTTATTATTTTTTAACGAACAAAATAGAAAAAATTCTAAGCTGCGTAGTGCTGATTAAGCTGAATGGAGCTGAATAGCAAATCTTTGCCTACTAAAGTGTATATATTGTCAAAACATACAAAATTATGTTACAGCTAAAACACTTTTCGACTTTCCTACTTTTGCTGAATTGATGAATAACGCCAAATTACTCAAAATTAGACATGTATGCTTTTGAGCATTGTACAGTATTTAAAGTGTTAATATATGCACATTTTATGTATTATTTTCCCTTTAAAAGTGCAAAAAAGTGCTGAATTGAGCTGATTTGTTAACGTTTGTCAATATACGAAGCTATATAATCCAATACTTTAGTCCAATCCGGTTAGACGTTAGCTGGATGGCAACTGGATTAAGCCTAATTGTGCTGAAAAAGAACTACCTTTAAGAATTTTTCTTACTGTAGTGAGCTGAATCGCTTGAAATTGCGCCGAATAAGTTCTCAATGGCATAAAGCCGTTTTCTTCAAAATTAGTAAATTTAACTTTGCTGAATAGCACTTCATTATATTCAGCGGTCGCAAAATAGACTTTTAATATGAAAATATAGGAAAAATAGAATATTACCATAAAAGTAAAACAAAATGTCTTGTGCTTATACTTCTTAAACTATAATGAATAGTATTTAATTATATTCAGCAGCACTTTGGAAACCGGAGATATTATAATTGAGGGCAGTCGCTTCTGACTATGTATCCGCCTTAACTATTTTTTGCTGAATTCCAGTTTCGGCTAGCAGAATTTATCGAATTTTATACTTAACAGAGATAATAAACCAGTTTGCTTTCAGAAATACACTTAGTAGCTTCAAAATTTCTCACAGTGTTTGAAACATTCTCTCTTTTAACAACATGTTTGCAACTCCCATTTTACTTTTTCGCTGAATGAAATGACCTGAAATTAAAAGTTGAGTCAAAAGCGTGCACTTTGGCGCCACTTGCGGCTGTCAGCTATACGGTCAGACGGATTCTGGGAAAGCGTCGAGTGGTGTTGTTAATGACACAAAGAGCGTAGTGCAAGCAGGCCAACACAAACAAGCAAATGTTCATTCTCGCACACACACACACACACCCACACACACACAACTCAGGCAAATGTATTCACTGTTAGCCATTTTGTTGCAAATACATTCTCGCTGCGTTGGCATGTTGCAAAAAGTTTTCTTGTTAAAGTACACGCTTCAAAGCGAGGCTAGAACTGCTAAAGAGAAAGAGATGAAAAATTTTTGAAAAACTTTTGTAGCTTGAAAAGCGAACCGAGTGCTCACTCAGTAGCATTGCTGCGATTAGGTAGTTGCGTTAAGCGCCTAGCAACTGCTATTAGTCTCTTCCTCTCTCTCCAAAAACTCACAAACAAAACAACGCCAGTTTGACTGAGTTACGAGTATAGGAAGAAATCGAGAAAACAAAAATAGCAAGCGAAAACTTTGAAAAACTGCAAAGCAATAAGAAATCATAAAGGGAAAATAAAAAATTAAAAAATGAGTAATAAAAACTTTTTAAATGACCAAAAATTGTACCCAAAGCTTTTCACCAGCCAACTCAGCGCAATTTATGCTTGGCATACTTCAGGCGCACATCATTCTATTTAGCACCAAACACTTGACTGACTACTTTTTCTTTGCTCAAACTTATGCTCGTGGCCTTTTGTGGGTACAAAATGTGAAGTCCAATGCAGTTTCAGCACAAAAAGTTTGCTTTCCTTAATTTTTTTTCTATATATTTTTTGTTTTTTGGTTTCTTCATTTAAAATTTTTTACTCTTACAAAGACAACCCTGAACTTTCAACATCAATTAATTTTATGTCATTTTAATTACTTATAGATCGCCCCAAGCCGCCATATTTACTGATCGATTCCCGGCGCCTGGATGCAGGCAACATTTTTGTGCCCGTCAAAGAGAACTCTGAATTGAATTTGGCCTGCGTCAGTGAGGGTGGCAATCCGAAGCCGACACTCACGTGGGAAGTGTTGCTCAGTCCGGGTGTGGATCGGCATGCACAGAAGGTGTCCGCTGAGGTGTTGGAGTTGGAGGAGGTGAAAAATGATAAGGTAAGTGGTTGAGACGGTGATGAATGTCAGGGATAGCAGGAAGTAAATAAATTTGCAAAAAAAAAATACAAAAAATAAGAAAAATATTAAAAAAGTAAATTAAAACCAAAATACAAACAAAAGAAAGTTTTAATAGAATATTCCACTTAGTTATTTTCTGGATTGTGCAGAGGAAACACTGAATGTATTAAATTAAATTATGCCTTTCAATAAATTTGACAAAAAAAAAATTAAACCAATTTTTAAAATAATATTTATTTAAATTTTAGCTTAATTTAAGCCCAAAAAATATGCGCTAAATAAGAAAAGGAGTTGCTGAATAGCTGAAATAATGCTGCTTTGGCATTTCAAAGCTTTAGTTTCTCCATAAGATTTCAAAACCAGTTGCTGAATAAGAGTATTGCCAACGGAATCAAGCTTTAGACCCGAAATTTTTTTACCAATATACAAAGCAAGCGCTGAATAAAGAAAAAAATTATGTTTCGAAAATTTTAATCTAGAATGTTTGAATTTGTTCAAAAATTTTAGAGAAACTAACTTACTTAGTGTGCTGAATAGGAAAATATATTAATAAATTTGACTCAAAACATATTAAGAGAAATTTTTTTATTATATATGGAAAAATTATAGGTGTTGAATTATATATTTGGTAGCTGAATAAACGCAGTTTAAAGTATGATAATTATTCGTTTATAAAATCTGTTAAAAATTAGCATTAATAAGTGCGCTGAATTAATCGCTGAATAAAAATTTGTGTTTATTTTACAAAAATTCTTAATTAGCAAAAAATGCGCTGATTGTATAGTGGATACGAAATTGACATAAAAATATATTATACAGAAGTGTTCACTGCCAAACAAAGTTTAAAACCACTTATGCTGAATTGAATACTTAACAGTTAAACCAGTGTTATATGCGCTGAATGTAAAAATAAATCAACTATTTCAAAGCAACTGATACAAACAGTATTTCCAAACGTGTTGAATTGAACTTTTCGTGCGCTGAATTGAAATTTTGCGCGCTGAATCGATGTTTTTTGCGCTGAATCGATGTTTTTTGCGCTGAATTAAAGTTTTGTACGCTTAATAAATATGTAATGTATAATTAAAAACATTTTTAAGCGACGAAAAATTGCGCTTAATTGCTTTTACATATGAAATTGAAAAAAAAACACAAAAAAATCATAATTAAATTTTTCGTGGCAACTTTTTTCATTCATATTTATATACGTGTATGCAAGTACTATTACTATTCCATGCAGTATGGCAACAAAGTGTTGCATACAAAAAAATATAAGAACCGTACAATTTCATTGTAAAAGTTGAAAATTTTAATTGCCAACAACTAAGTGGCAATATTGCTGTTGAACGAGCTAGCAATCGTGCTAAAGCTTTAAGCACAACTTCTGCATATAATATTTGCAACTAACTGCCGGATGTAGAAATTGCAGCGACACTAGACCAGTAGCCTGAGGAGGGACCGTATACACTTAAAAGCATTCAAAAAGTTTAAATGAAGAGATTGTGAAATAACTTCTAAATAAGCAACTATATATAATATATAAAAGAGTGCGCTCTGCAATATAATTTGAATCTCTTTATTAATAAATGTATATGTATGCAGAGCAGTTATAATATGCTCGTATGTTGCAACATCAGCATTCAACGGAAGATGCGAATCATTTGCTAGTTATCGTTATTGCATACACTTTTGATGGATAGAGTAGACACATTGCATGCCAATAAAAACCGAGGATGTCCGTTATACACACATACACTTATTTGCATATCAACGAGCACTTCTTCTTTCTGTATGCGTGTATGAGTGTATGTGTGTGTATAAAGCAAGCATCCTTGTGCCATAAAATATCATGTCCGGCTACTTATTATTACTTTGTATAGCTGTTGGTAAACAAGCATTTCCATTTTATAACAAATTTGTGTTAATATATGGTATAAACTTTAAATTACCATGTAAATGTAACAAATTTTTGGAAATAAAAAAACCACAACTTTGCGTTCATTCGTTATGTCCCAGTTAGTGTGGATTCAATGGTTGAGTGAACACATAGATATTCATATATATATATGGGCATATATATGTGTGTTTATATATTCATTTTATAATAGCATGGTGCAGTGTAATGACCAGAAGAGTAAATATTTATATATAGCTAGAATTTCGCATAGTTTTTATGCAATATACACATACATACATACTTACGATGCTAACAAAAATACATATGCATTACAGACCTGTAAGAATTGTGAAACACTGTAAGGTAAAATTTTTTGTGCCACCAGATGGGCTGAATTATATTTTAATATGCTGAATTACAATTATATGCGCTGAATAACAGTTATATGCGCTAAATCACCTAAAAACCTTTAAAATATGAAATTCCCAAAATGTCATCACTCAATATAAACTTAATTTAAACTAAAAAGTATGCTGAATAGCTTTTGCAAGCAATCTATATCTTCAAGCAAGTAGTCAGCAGATCACATTCGATGACATTAAATTAAATAAAAAAAAAAAAAAAACTTGCTGAATGTACTTTTAGGCACGCCGAATAATATGAAACTATAACTTGTATAGAAAAAATAATATTTTCAATAAAAATGTTCACTGTACTTTATTCCCATGAGCCTAATATACTTTAGCAGCTCTCTATCTATAATATTAATATTACTCCCAAGCAAATATAAAAAAAATGAATGCGCTGAACTTCAACAATATGCGCTGAATTCAACTAAAAAGCAGTTATATACATGAAAATTACTAACTATCTTTCAGTTTATGCAGATGACTGCGGAGCAAAACTAAACGGTTTGATGAATGCTCAAAACAGTACTATATGAATATTATTTGTTACTATTTAATAGAGTCATATCAATAAAGTGCGCTGAATATCCTTTTTATAGCGCAGAAATACATAAAAATATATGTTATGCAGAAAAATGCTTTTGAGGTTTCTTAAACTTTATTTATATGAGCCTAATTTGCTTCATGAACTTTTAAAATTCTTATATATGTGTAATTTTTTGAGTTAATATTTATAAATTCGTGATGAATTCACCTAAGTAACCATCATAAAGAAAATCCCCTAAATGTAAGCCAAAAGGTGTGCTGAATTATATAATATGCAGGTGCTTAAATATAAAATATGCAGCTCAAATATGACATTGGTTCAAACAAAAAAAATGTGCTGAATTTACTTTTTATCGCGCTGAATTGCACAAAAACTACATTTTATAACAGAAAAATAAAAGAAATTAAAAAAAAATATATGTTAGACTTAATCTATATTTGATAAAACTTGAAGATATTAAATCTCTGCATATTCTGCAATTATTCCTTGTAGATAAGGCTGAATATCTATTTTGCAGCTGACTTAATTTTCTTTTAAAAATCTGTTGTGGAATTAGATTTAAAATGCTGAAAAACAAGAGCTTCTGTTTAATATAAAAGAAAAATCATAGCATAATTGACCCAAAATGATTGCGGCCTTTTAGTACTGAATGTATACATAAACCACAGCATACGTTATATGTTAGCTGAATGGCAGCCAAGGTTTATTTATGTATTATCTTCCAACATTTGCATTGATATTTAAGCCGCTGATTGCAGCTGAATCGGTTTTAGGGCTGCTAAATTTAATTTGTTGCTGCTGAATAAGCAAACTGCTATGTGAACACTATTTCGAAGTTATTTTATTGTTTTGCATGTTAATTCCCGTGAATTTGATCTAAGAGGACAGAATATATTTTTTTTCAGACGCAAACGAAAATATGTTGGTGGTAATAGTGGTGTGCAAGTTTTTGTTTTCCAAAATTCGTTTTGTTCGTAGAATATAATGCAAGTGAAGTGCATTTATTTTCTTGCAACCGAATTTTTGACGCGCTGAATTACCCTTTTTCTTATTTAAATAGCGCAAATTTTTGTCGCTAGCGACAAAGCATATCTGAAGCGCTGAATTAACTTTTCTTTACTGAATAGCAATAATTTTTATGAAATGTTCTAATAAGCTTAGAGCTTCTATAAAATACAAAACTATTTGAACCGCTGAATAGGTGCTTACAAGTGCAAAGTGCAAAAACAATATTCCTACTGACACTTTTGCTGTATTAGAGTGATTCAGAATATTTTATACATATACACATAAAATTTGAATCTTTTAAAGTCTTTTACATAGCTGACAGTTGAATGAACGGCAGGGCGAGCAGAACCGAACCTAACTAAATATATGTAGATGATACTGCGTGCTTACATGTATACGTACAAAACTAGCTGGCTCCCAAATGTAGGCAAGCAGTTGGGGAGAACTTATGGAACCGACTTTTATATGTTATTTTGCTTAAATATTTATTATTTTATCTATTTTATTAATATTCTTAGCAATTTACATATACATATATATAGTTATATATTTCAAAAGTTATGCGTGTGGTTAGCCAAATATGCTGCTACCCAAACCCAAGCCCCTTCGATTGTATGCATGTAAATGACCATATAAAGCGACTAATTTGCATATGACGTGGCAGGGCAGAGATCACAAAAAGAATCTGCCTAACATATGAGCGCTGTAATTTTTTTATTAAAATATATGTAGGTAAAAGAGGGAATAACTAGAGTAGGAAAGTCATAAGTTGACAAAAAGTATGTGAAAGTTTTGTATATTTTTTAAATTTTTTTTTATATTTTTTTTATTTTATTTTTTTTTGTTCCCTCTCCAGCACTTTTACCCAAGCCAACCGCCAATTTGTGCTTGTTGCTTTTTCCCTGTTATTATATTTTCCAAGTTTCTATTTCTATGTGACCTCGCTTTTTATGTAGAGCAAAATTTCACTTATATATCATTTAATTATGTTGGCAAAAGTTTTAATTGAGTAAAAGTGCTGGATAAACACGAGTGAGTAGTTAGTTATGAGCAAACTATGATTAAAATATTAGAAAAAGAATGCAAATACATATATTACATATATTCGTATATATTTATTAAGTGAAATATGAGTACTGTGCCTGCTTTCCTTCAACTTTTCTCCTTGAAAGAGGAACTAAATGGAAATTTATTACTTTTCTTCGTTAATTGACAAACATTGTGAGTTTAATTCATGCTGTATATATACGTTATAAGTATATGTATATACATATTATTATGTACATATTTATAGAAATATTTTACCAAATTTATTAGTTTTCAAGGCTTTTCACTTCATTATTTACACATTAAGGGGCACACGCACATATCGACTCACAACTAAATTGATTTGGTCAAATAAATATTTCCTTAAATATATATGGCTAGCACTTACAGACGCTTGTAAGCACTTCCTCTCTGCTTCTTCCTCATCTTCTGCTTGTTAGCAGCCACTTAACATTTTATTTGCCACACGTGCAACAAATCTAGCAAAAAAACTTTTGCTCACCGCAAATCACTGCCGTGGCTGTCGCAAGACAGTATTTCGTTGTCTGGCCAGCAAATTCATTGATAATGTAATTAATTTGCATATAAATTGAGCTATTTATGTAAACACATCTTTCGATGCAAGAAATATATTAAATTAAAGTTCATTGACACCTTATATTTGAATGATTAAGATGGTTCCCGCCTAAAATTTTGTGAAAAAGTATTTTTTAATATTTTTTTATAGTTTGTTTTGAATCTTTTATTTGTACGTAAATATGTATTTTTCAGCTTCTCAAAACTTTGCAGTAATTTGATTTACAAATAGTTTCCATTGACGAAACTGCTCCCACTGCCTTAGTATCAATCCTGTCTTCACTCATTCTGTTCTCCCTTGTTACTCTCCTTCAATACCAATTTCAATTGAGCGTCTGCTTTTCACAAATTACTTGGCTGGTTGTGGTTTTATATTTGGTTAATTTACCTTATGAAAGTGCATTGTGGTAAATTGTTGAGTTCAATGTCTGGTTCTACTAACAACAAACGACATTGATGAGAACGAGCAATAAAACAAAATTAAACTGGTCAAGTGAACCAATTTAATGTTGTTAAAATACAATTTTTGGTATATTAAATGCATTAATTAATATATACTTCATTATAACTTTAATTAAATTTAAGCAGAATTTTCTTATTAAATATATTTGTTGAAAGTATCAATGAAATTTCAATAAATAAAGTAGTAAAATAAATAAATTTAAGCAACATAATTACATACATGCTTCCTTCGATGCGATTCAGCTGGGTTAAAAGCAATTCAGCGCATAAAATTAACCCTCGTGACTTTTAAAAAAGCTAGTAAACAATATTTTTACTTAACTAACTCTATTCAGCTGTAAATTATTTTTATTCAGCTCACTAATTTTAATCAAAAAGTTAAAAATATAAAGTAAGAGAATCCAATCGTACAATTCAACGCACATATTGTTTCTTAAATTGACAACTTATTAGTATCTTGTTCTTGTAATGCTAAATATTAAGTAAAATCGAAAATTTCTTTAATTCACGCTTTACTATTATTCAGCAAAAAAATATTAAATTCAGCTCAAATATTTTCACAAAAGTGACGAAATCATAAGTTTAAATTAAATATATATAAAATCTTAAGCCTTACAATGGCCGCTAGTTAAATTTAGTTCAATTCAGCCAGAGGAAAAGCAATTCAGCTCATGAAGTTTATACTTTTTGCATATTTTATTACTTTTTTAAGTACTTTGCGCAATTCAGCTGAACATATTTTTCACTCAACTCACATTTAATCTCAAAGAGATATGAAATTATGGCTCAGAGTTACCTGTACTTAAGATTCAACCGTAATAAGGATTTTTAGTAACATTCAGCGCAATTTATCTGCAAAAACTGCAACTAAGCGATTCTATATAGCTTAGTTTACAAAAAAAAAAAAAAAAAACAATTTTAACCACGTTTAACTCAATTCGGTGCAATTCAGCTGAGCAGTGTCATGTTCTGCGCAATTCAGCTGATTTAGAATGAAAAATAATGCCTTTAAGGTACTTCCATTGGTTGAACCATATAAAATACTTTGGTTGCCCGTAGCTAAATTCAGCATAAAGGAGAGCTTGTCAGGGGCAAACAGGCTTAAATGAATCACCGAAAGAGCAAAACGTGTATCTGCGCAAGGGAATGAATTCACATAATTATCGCTATAACACTATGTTAATAAACCGACCGTCTACACTATTTTAGTTCTGCTTCAAATATATTATATTGAGCTCAACTCCACTTAGTTTCATGCTCAACAGCTTTCATACATCATAACCAAATCAAATTGTGGAATAAAGTATACAATTTTTAATCACATTACAAATCAAAAAAAAATATACAGCAAAACTCAGCCTCGGCAAGCGCATTAAAAAATTCAAAAATATAGTTTGCACATCGTCGTTAATTGTCATTCAGCTTCTCAAGCGAAATGCAACCCTTTCCAAGAAACACCAGCGAAACAATTCAACAGACTTAAAACTTAGACCTAAAATTTAGGAAAATATTTCTTTTGGCTGTACAGCGCCACTTACTGTCATTCAGCAGCTCCTATGCTGACTTTAAAGCATATTAACACTCTCCAATTTACCATTAAATTCATTTCAGCACAATTCAGCTGAGTAAAGCAGCTAAATACAACAGCCATATTGAGCTAAAAATGAAATTTTCTATACTTTTTTATTATATTTTCATATCGTATTCAGCTCGACTGAGCTGGCAAAATTTGTTATTAAATTTAATAAAATATTTTTTCTTTTTATTTTTATTAGTTCGTTTTTTAAGGTTACGCTTAGTTTTATTCAGCTTCTAAAAATTCATTCAGCATTAATATTATAACTCCTCCAAAGAGCCCACAGTTTTTTCCCAGGCATCTAAGACACTTTTTAAATTTATTGCGGTGCCATTCAGCTAAATAAACAACTAAGATTCTGCTGCAAGATATACTTAATTTCAAATTAAAAAAAATTTTAAATTCCTTTTAATATTTTGTCTATATTCCGCTAACAATATTCTCTTGTTTCAGCACAATTTTACAGCCAAAGATTAATTTCAGTTTGATTCATCTAATGAATTAGCATTCCTACTCATATGTATTGTTGAAAAAGTCTCATTTCCAACATTGCTAAACTTCAAATTAACATACTCAGCTAACAAACAGCTCATATTTAGTAAAAAATTAGCTTTAATAAAATAGGAAAGTATCATACTAAAACTACGAAAATATGCTTTTTTAATAAAAATTGGCTTTGAATAACTAAAATATTTTTCCACTGCTTGCAAAAGGCGTAATTTTTGGATTTTTTTTAAATCCTTTGAGAACATTAAAAATTTTCAAGTTAAGAAAAAATATATGGATTTTTCTGTATTTGACTTGCCCAATATATCTACATTGAATTTAGTGCGTTTAAAATCCTCCACCGCTCGCTTGCGCACTCTTTCCTACTTTCCTACTTACTTTGCAACCAGTTTTGAAAGCATTTTCCTCGAATTTTTCTAGCTCAGCCAAAAAAAAGAAACAAAACAACAAAAAAAAAATAAAAATAAATAAATCCGAAAATATAAAAAAAAACTTGCACACCCACCATTAAGCGGCATACTTTCACGCCTTCTGTTGGGCCTTGTAAAATTTTCATACAAACAGCACTCAGAGGACTCACATATCGGCCGCCCGCAACATGAAAAATTCAACATTGTTGCCAAAAGTATTTCAACGCTGTCATTTATTTTCATTTGGCGCGCCATAACCTTTCAACTACGCCGTCATACATACACACACATATATATACATGGGCACAAACACTCACTCGCTCACATACATATACATACACTCAATTTAGCTGCCCACTCACTCACAGTGACTGTGTGCTGAATTTTGTATGGTTTTTGTTTTCATTTGTTTTTTTTTTTTGTTTCTTCCGCTTTTTTGCCATTTTTCGTTGCATTTTTGTATTGCATTTTTATGTGGCTTAACAGGAATTTGCCTTAAAAATGCAACAGTGGCATTTTGTAATGTCGACTGGTGTTAGAGCGTGCGTACGCGCGTGCCAGTGTGAGGGTGTGTGTATGTGTATGTACGTGTATGTGGCATGCAGGTACGTGTGGCCTCGTTGTAAGCTCATGTGTGTGTGAGAGTGTGTGCAACTGTGAGAGTATGCAAATTTTTCAACACCTACAAATTTTTAGTCGAGTGTGTGTGGCGCGCAGAGAGGCTTCATCTTCAGCGTGTTGCATGTAAATTTTTTACTGCATACGAAATGTTTTTGAAAATTTTTAACCAACACCAAAAGCATTCTTTACAAATACACCCACATAAGCGATACATATATGGAAATAAAATGACTGTCTGTGTGTAGGTGTGCGCAGCTTTTCTTTGTTTTTCCACTACACACACTTTGTTTATCTTTGCACTTCTCACTTGATGCATTTTTTTTCATTTTCCATTTTCTTTTTGTGCTCTTTTCAGGATAAAAACACATACAAGATCAATAGCGGCGCGAAAAGTGAGGCCCGCTTGCCGGCGGTCTATCGTGCCCATCACAATGCCCGCATACTGTGCGTTATGGAGCATCCGACGTTGAAGATACGCCAAAATGCATCACTGCTGCTGGATGTGCAATGTAAGTATGGCGAAAAAAAAACGCAAAAAAATTCTTTTCAAAAATAAAGTATCGTTGTAGCGATTCGAAAGTTGTTGCAGAAAACTTCAAATAACAAAAGTTTTTTTTTTTGCTGCTACTCTATGCGTATGTGGCATACTTTTAGGCGTAAGCATTGGCAGGTGATTGAATTTTAGTTTGCAGAAATTGCAAATGTTTCATATAAAGTACGGGTTCGGAGAAGAGGGCAATCGTTAGTGTAAATAAAGCTCTAAAGCTTTCAAAAAATTTTTGTTTTGAATGAATTAGTTTGAAAATCTGTCTATATAGCTAGTTTTCACACTCAAAATATCAAGGTTCATATAAAATGGTCCACTTAATATAAGGATATATTATTCGAAAATTTTTTTAATTATACTTGCAAGCAAAGAACAGTCGCAAACATATTTTAGTAAAAAGTTTGTTTAAAAAATTTTTCAAATTTATGTATTAAAGCTTTCGCAAAAGCTTTATTGAATTTGAAATAATTAAAAAACAAAATGATTGAAAGTTCTATGAGAGCTTAGAATATTCTTGTTGTAACAATTTATAAAACAAGGATTCTTAAAAGCTTTCGGAACCCAAAAAATAGTAATCAAGCTATTTAAAAATAATAAGTTTTATGAAATAATAATAACATTAAATTTTTACAAAAACATACTCCGATGCATATCGTTTGGATTAAAAATACATTGTGACATGCTGCCCATATTTATAAAAAGCTCACGAAGCTTTTAAGCTTAAACAAGTTTGATAACAATCACTTCTTTTTTAAATTATAATTATAATAATTATTATAAAATATTATATATGTATATTTTAAAGCTTTTTAAAAGTGAAAGTGAAAGCTTAAAGCCACTAACTGATAGATTGGATATTCTGCATTTTATTTAAAAAATATAAAATTTAAATTAAAAAATTTTAAACTTATGAAAAAACTTAAGGCAGCTTATATATCAAATCATCTTATAAAAAAATCATTTGGACAAATGTTCTGCTGTTTTTATGTATAAAAGTCATATTTACAAATTATTTCTTAACTTTCAAAAAAAATTTTGAAGTCAATTCATCAATACTTTTGAGAAATCTTCAAAAGCTCTCTATAATAAATCAAACTTGCTACATTTTCTTTAACTCTCCAAACTTTCGATGTACGGTATTAATTAGATTAATAATAAAATTTTGTCATTGGAAAAAAGAAGCTTTGAAAGCTCAAAATATCTTTTTCGTATTATGATAGCCGTAGAAGTTTCAAATCAATTCTTCCTCAAAAAAAAAAATTAAAAAATAAATAAATTTAATTTACACCATACAATTAAATTCTCGAACAAGAGCTTAAAGCTCGAATTAACAAAATGTTTGTAAATAACAGTAGAAAAACAAAATCAAATGATATAAACTTTATTGAACTAAAGCAGCTCTCTTATGTCGATGATTGGAAAGCTTTAAGCTTAACAATTTATTTATTTCAGCTCTTCATTCACGATTTTTCCCACTCGATCACGTAAATTACCAAACTTTCTTTTGCCTGTGAGCTTTATTTCAACTTTTCTTTCATAACAGTGCTCCCTTTTTATACTCCAGTAAACGCCTTTAGAAATAAACTGTAAAAAAATTGTACCTTAAGTGCTACCGCCAACTTAACGCCTGTATAATATATATGTGTATAGATAGGTATCTAAAAAAAATCTCAGAAGCTTTTGCTGAAAAAGAATATTTTTCAAAAGAGCTTTAAAAGCAATTTGCAACTTCTTATTTATACTTTTTAATATCGAAAAAATGTTGACACATAATACCAGTTGTAACTTCTCACATCATCGACAGCTTTCATGCAAGTCAGACTTTATTTAGAATGTGCCACTCCGCTGTTAGACAGTGCCAAGAATATGACACAAAAATCTTTGAGAAAAGTCAAGTAACTTTAAAAAGTTGCACGGGGCAAAGTTATTAAACTCTTATTAACGTACAATACAAGATGATGTTGTTGTGACACTTGAAAGAAAAGTAGGAGTGGAATGGGGTGGATAAGAAAATTGGAAGGTGTAGTGGTGATGGTGATATTGGTGGGTGCGAAATAAGCTATGAAAGGAAGTTGTGGTAATTTGAACAATAATAATTAAAAATTTGAAAAAAAAATTGTTAATAATATACCGAAGGGAGGTTCGAGCAAAATCACAATTGATTTCTTAAATTACTAGTGCTCTGGAGTATTAGAGGTACTCGCAAAGATGAGCAACTAAAAACGAACTTGAGAGCAGCTTCGCGTTTTCCAATTTACATACATTTTTAGCTCAAAAAAAAAAGCTTCATGCAGCTGGTAAAGCTGAAGTTTACTTAGTGCTAGATATACAGATAACAAACGCCGCAGTCGTTTTCTCTGCGTTACCATTTTTAAAACTCTTACATGGAAGAGGTTACAGTATATTGAATAAGTGTCCCACCAAACAATTTTTTTCATATAAAAAATGGCTTACGGTCTGCATGATGTTCGAGATAATTTTTTTTTAGAATGACACCATTTTTCTTAATCAAGTAGGCAAGAGATTTCTGCCAAACTAAGTCGTGCTTCTCCATTATATTATATGAGTTCTCTCTCGTTCTTGAGTGACATTTTTCATTGATCAAAATATTTTGTAAAGCGTCTTTTTGCGGCAAGAATTTTTTTACTTCATATCAATAAAGCTAGCCTCCATTTGAGTAGAAACCAACTTTAGTTGGAGTTTCATTGACGGGTTTGGCGAGTGCACAAATTTTCTTCCTCTATTCTGTAACCACATAATTGGATATTTGTAACTGCTGAAGCAATTTTCGGCAGATCTCTTTATACAATTTATGACACTCAGAGAGGTAGATATTCCCCAACGAGCAGCAACTGCAATTAGGAAATATTTTCCTATTGACCAGTGTAGGCCAACTTAGAATCACATCACAAAAGATTATTTGTCTTACTATTGCCGCTTCTTACTAGAAAATCAACTTCTTTTTACATAAAAATGGTGGCATTGTCTTGGTTCACAGTAAAATCCTTTCATGCATTTATTGCTGAATCAACAACAGCGCATAATTTGCTTCTTCTCTTCTCGCTTTTTAGAGCAAGTGAAACCAGTGCGCCATACAATGAAATTGAAGTCTTTTTCTTACTCTGCTTGCAACAGCTGATAACTGCATCGAATACTGTTAAAGCTTGGATTTTTGTAGCAGTCTCTGAATGGTTTTGGTAGGGCTCATCGTTCTATTATCTGCCGCCGCTCACGCAAAGAGTACGATAAACTTACGTAAAATATCTATTTTAAACGCTTCAAGCGTCGAAGTGTTCTTATCCATATTGACGATATAACTTAGACAGCATAGCCACTGCTTCATAAATCGAAGAATTTACTCAACATCGCCCACGAGATATCTCATCGCTCTAACACCGACGGTATTCGCCGCTACCAATTCGGAGTTGTCCATAAATCTTCTGCGAAACCTATGAAACTCGAATGCTCCAAACACCGAACCATAGGTTGTTGTCATCATCTACGCCTTAGCGCCAAGCCAAGCAAAATGGAAATGAGGAGTGAGAGAAGACTTTACTTTTCAATTGCCCACTCTATCCAAGATATCACCTGTTTGAAAGAGTAAATATTTAAAAGATTTCCACGCAGGCATTATTGTTTGTGTTGCTTCTGGTTCTTATTCTATTAGGGACGTGGAAACACCGGCGAGAATACGCTGACTCTTTCGTTGAAGACAAGATATATACTAGATCCTTACGCTTCGCTTCCTTATTGACACAAATAATGTCAATATCATCGGCATGCCACAGCAGTTGTACACTTTTATGCCACATTTTCCCTACTTTATTCAGCTGTGAAAATTTCAGTCTGAAACCTAGTTTAGTGACGCACAGCTTGGAGAGGTCCCTTCCGAACCTGACGAAGCCTTTTCTGTTTGCTTAACATCAGTTTACATAGGCAAATAAGCTTTGCGTGGATACAAAAATCAGACAAAGTAGCGCAAAAGCTGCTCTTGTTTGTGATAAAAATATCGCGGAGATGTGATGTGATGCCTATATCATTGATATTTTCCCGGAATTGACGCATGGCGAATCTGGTCAATGGTGAATCTACTCGTTCCAAAGCCACACTGTTAGGAGACAATGAGTTTTTTGATGGTTTGGTCTATCATATAGTAATATAGTATGCGGAATTTAATCTTGTCCCTCGATGGCTGATACAGACTTTGTGAAATTCCTTTTACTCAATGGCAAAAAGCAAACTCAGGTTGTAGTCTGCGACCTTACTTTTGTGCGACAATATTTTCCAAAGAACCTGACACCCGCTCCTACTCAGCTCTTCGCTGTTATGCTTTTACTGTTCAGCTGGTAAGCTTCGGCCGCTTTGCTTTAAGCAGACAATCGCTATTCCCATTTCGTTGCCGTTGAGTGCCTAACGCAGTTTGTTTGTCGGTCGCTTCTTTGGGCTTTACATGGGAAAGTTGTTGTTCATGAAACCTTTTGAAAGTAGTTGCATCTTTATGTAGAGTTTTCGAGCATTGCTCTGCTTTATCTGGTTGCTTTTTATGTTTTCGGTAGATTATTCGTAATTGTTCCTCTACTAAAATAAAAAAAAAAATTGGAAAAAACTAAAATATAAATTAAAAATATATATCGATCTAATAGGTTGGATTATCGCTCAGGAAAGTTTTCTCAATGGTTTGGTATGAGGGGCAAGCAATCATCCACTATGAGCTGCTCCCCTAAGGCCAACTATTCGAACCTGTATTGTCAACAACTTGACCGACTGAGTGCATTTCCCAGATTGCTCAGCTTTAGCCAACAGAACGAGCGGCTTGCCAGAAGCTTCGAGAGCTTGATTGATTGCTTGAGAGGTTCCAATATATCCACCATATAGTCCATAAGCGCGAACCAAGTGATACGATCTGTTACTGTCTATGGCGCATAATTTAGCTGGTGAAGAATTGGCCTCGAAAAAACCAATTTTCTCAATTTTTTGCCAATAGCGACAATGGCTTCTGTGAGACATTATTATCTTCCAAATGGCTAAAAGTCATGGAGCAAAACGATGCATATTTGAAAACATATAATTCTAACTATTTTAATAAAGCTTTAATTAACTAATTTAAAAAAATGTACTATTTTTTGCTAGGCGGATATATGCTTAGCTCTGAATGGTTTCTTGTTTAAAGATATACCCAAAAACTTCTAGAATGAAAAAATAATATTAAGTTTGCTGAATCCTTGCAAAAAAAAACCTCGATCAACGCATTCCTAAGTTGTAAGCTCTCATAAAAATTCTTGGTATCATGTATTTAGTTAATTATACAATATTCTCTAGAAATTATGCCACTACCTCGATTAATTCTTGGCATAATTTAGTGAGCAAAATTTTATAAAAAAATATTTAGAAATGTTTCGCAAAAAATTCAAATGTTTTCGGCAAGATAAGTAGTTTCATACTTTTTAGAAGCTTACGAGGTGCCAAATTCCACTTACTTTCATTTATAATATATATTTTATATGTATTTATATATATTCAGACATTGACATCATTACATTCTCCTGTCCCAAAGAACTCCATGCCATCCCTAGTGAAACTCTCATTTCATAATCATGCATTAAATACAAGAATTTATAACTATGGTAATCACAGCAATTTCATTTAATTTCTATACCCTTACGCTTCACTGCACCATTTCATTATTTACCTCCTGCCCGAAAGTATGCTTCAACATATATTTTAATATATATTTAGAACTATAAATGTATTTGTATATTCGCCTCCAACTCCATGTGTTCGCCAAAAATAAGAACAAAGTAAAGTGAAGGCGTTACGAGAGCGTGTTTTCATGGAGTGCCACAACTTTTTCGGTAGGCGGATATCCTGTGACAAATGAACACATACACATAAATATATTTACTGAGCTACATACACAAAAACTGTCATTCTAACTACAATTTACAATACATCTGTTCGGCGAATAGTTAAGTAAAAGACAACTTTTGTTTCGATCATACTTATTTGTTGTTGTCATTTTGGTATTTGATTTTTCCGTCTTTACAGTTGGTTGGCTGATTGTTGTTGTTGCTATTTTTGTTGAGCGCTCAACACGCGTCTGCATTTACATTTACTTTAATTATAAAAGTTTTTCGTTAGCAAATACCCGCGCTTTTCGAGTTTTCTGTGCGAGCTTGGGTATGTAAGGCGGTGTGTGAGTATGGGTGTGTATGTGTGAGACAATAATAACAATAATAATAATAATAAAGTTTTTAATTAAAAACCAACAAAACGGTGTAAACTCGGTATCGTATGGCAACACCTACTGAAAATGAGGTAAAAAAAGGATAGACAAAGTAGTTTTGCCTTTTCTGCATAGACTGCGCCTACTAGTATGCTACAATTTTCGACAACGTTTTCTACACGAGTTTCATGTACTTTTTTCTGTATCAATATTACAACTACTATGCGTGTAGTTATTTGAATTTTACATCTCAATTTCATTCCTTTTCCACTGGTGTATATATGTATATTTACTTACTTTCTTCTATTTTTCACAGATACACCATCATTTGCCATTTCACGCACCCCGGGTTTCGGCTATCCACTTCGTGAAGGCATTGAAGTTTCACTGAAATGTGATGTTGACTCAAATCCGCCAAGTACACCGCGTTGGCAGAAAGATGATGGTGATACGCCGGTAAGTAGACTAGGTATTTCGCGCGTGGAAGACTTTATGTTATGACAGTATATCGGATTGATATGAGGATAAAGTAGACTTCTTTAATAACTGTGTTTGTCGAAAACGTAGCAAGCTCGTAAGTTTTGTTACTAAACAAAATAGTAGTAGAAATATAGTAGCATAGTAGTGGTCTATTTTTTTTTTGTATGACTAAGCGAGCATGCCTTATACAACACAGCGCACCAGCGAAAACATCAAATCAAAACTTAATGAAAATTTTGTAAAGAGTAGTAGAATAGTAGTAAACATTTTTACACAGTTTTTCTATATAACTAAGCTAACTTGCATAAATACGGCAAATGGTTTTTTCATAAATAGTAGTAGAAAAGTACTCAGCAGAAAGTAGTTTTCTTAAAATTTCTCACACACCTAAGCCAGTGTGCGCACTATTTAGCAATGGCCACATTAGTAATTGGTAGTAGAAAGGTAGTAAATAAGCACTAAGTATGCAAAAATTTCTACACAACTTAGCCAATATGTGATCAGCACAAATCAGTGAGCAATCTGCATATTTTGTAAATAGTAGTAAAAAAGTATGAAGCTTTTAAACAAATTTCTATATATCTGCAATTATTCACTCTATCAAAATCAGTTAATCTTAACATTTTTATTTCCGCCCAAACTCAAAATTTTTTTACACAAAATAAGATCGCAGTGAAAACGAAAATTTTTATTTTCCCAAAATATCCAAAAATAAATCAATTATTAACTACTTAAGTTTGAAAAGTAACAGTTGTGACTATTTGCTATTTTAACGACGATTTCTAAAAGCCTCAATTATATTATATTATAGTACACATTTCCACTAATATCTACTTGAATAAATTCTACTCGCAAAATTATTTGTATAAAAAAGACCAAAAACTAATAAACCAACACAAACACACTTAACAACTAAAATAACCACTTTAAACTAACAAAAACTAAACTGCATGTAAATAAGTATTTGTTAGAACAAGTTAAGACAACATACAACCCACATACCATAACAGGACTAACTTACTAACACATATGTACGCAACCGTACTCTCGTGCAGAAGGACAACTGTAACGACAAGTTGGAAAACAAATTTGTCGCACAAATCTGGTATTGTTGATTTTCGGTTCCCAACAGCGTTTTTGGCTACAATTTTTATTATATTCCTTTTGTTGTATTTGGATAGGCTAAATTTTTCATGTTATTTAACTTTACCGCAAAGTAGGAAAACTAATAGAAGAGAAGTGGAGAGTAAGTAGTTAGGTAAGCAACCACTTTTTAAGCTACCTATATGAAACGTACACACACACATAAATTTTCGGGTATAAATTGAGTAGTAAATGGATAGAAAATTATAAAATAGAATTAGAAAAAAAAAGACAATATAAAAAATTAACTAAAATAATAAAAATTTAAATAAAATTATATAGAATGAAAAAAATTAAGTAAATTAAAACAAAATAAAACAGTAAAAACAAAAATTTAATTAAATTTGATAAAATTAATTTAAACGAAATTAAATGGGTTTAAATCAAATATAGTAAATAAATTAAAAAAAAAAACAATTTAAATCAAATAAAATAAAATTAAATTAAATCAAATTGAGTTAAATAAAGTAAAAAGTAATACAATTAATTAAATTTTAATAAAATAAGTTAAATCAAATCAACTTAAACTCAATTAAACTACTCTAATTAATTAAATAATATATATAAAATATAAAAATATATTAAGTTGAAATTAATTATATAGATTTTTGCTTAAGTAAATTAATTTGAAAAAAGTAAAAAAAATTAATTTCTTAAAAACTGAATTAAGATAATCAAATTAAATATTCACAAATTAAATATAATAAACGATTTACATTCAAAAATTAAGTTAATTATTTATAATTATTTCAGCTAATAAAAATTAATTAAAATAAAATTGATTAAAATTTAATAAAGTAAAAGAAATGATATGCGATTATTATTATCATTAATTACTTATTAAACCCAATGAATTTAAAAATTTATCCAAGGTTATTTAGATTTAAATCAAAATAGACGTAAAATAAATTAAGTTTAATTAATATAAATAAAATTTAATTTAAGGTCACTAAATTATTTATAGTAAGTAAGTGAGTAAATTATTTAAAACTAAATTATTTTAAAAAAAATTAGATCAAGTTGAATTGAAATATATTAAAATTTAAAAATGAATTATATTAAATAATTTAAATAATTATAGAATATTTCTTAGTAAATGCAAACTTTTGAAGTGTTTTTTTCGCAGTGGTAGCTATAATACCACTAAAAAGTAGTAGTAGCAGTAGTAGTAGTAGTAGAAGAGTAGTAGTAGTAGTCGTAGTAGTAGAAGTAGTAGTAGTAGTAGTAGTAGGAGAGTAGTAGTAGTAGTCGTAGTAGTAGTAGTAGTAGTAGAAGTAGTAGTAGTAGTAGTAGTAGTAGTAGTAGTAGTAGTAGTAGTAGTAGTAGTAGTAGTAGTAGCAGTAGTAGTAGTAGTAGTAGTAGTAGTAGTAGTAGCAATAATTTTTGTGTCAATACTAGTACAAGTATTTTAATATAAAGTATAATGCTTATACTGGTATATATATTAGTAGCAGTAAATTATTTAAAAAAATATTTTCAGAGCTCTACTAATTCTTTTAAAAACATCACGAGAAAACTATGATTAGTAGAAAATAGCAAAAAAAAAAATGCTATCAAAAATAGTAGTAGTATTTATAGTAGCATTAGTAGCAAAGTAGTAATAGTAGCAAAAGTAATGATAGTAGTAGTGGTGATTTTTGAAATAATATTGTATACAATTTTAAAGCTCCATTTATCAAAAAAAAAAAAAAAATAATAATATTTCAATACAATTTACAAAATAAACATTCAAAAACAATATATATGTACGTATATGGCAAGTATTCCTGTATAATAAATAAAGCATGTAATTTTAAATTTTTTCTCGATTTAATTCTTCTGCTACTTGCTCTTGATTTGATTCTGTTTATTTTTCACAAATTTTTCTAAATAAATATGCAAATTAAACTTTACTACTACTAAATACGCTTTTTATTCTCTTCTTTGCATATACTCTAAGGTTCCGCAAACTGGTGATGGTTTCCTAAATTTCACATCGATACGCCACGAACACTCCGGCTGGTATAAATGCACGTCACGACATTTGAACTTTCAATACTCATCGATTGGCTATTATCTGAGTGTGAGATGTAAGTATACAGTAGTAGAAAGCAGAATGAATTTCCAGAAGCAAAAGAAAAAAGTTCAAAAATGGAAAACGGTACTCAGAGCATGCTTGTTTGTATAAGCAAAATAATTTTTCTATTTTCTTCAATATTTTTTTTTTCTTTTGCAAAAATATGGCAGAATATTCAAATAAGGGTAGTAAAATAAATATTTATGTATTCATATATATATATGAAGGCTTTCAAGAAATATGCTATAAATATTCATGGTTGTGTAGGCATATTTTCAAGGCGACCATTGGTTGGTATGAGAACATTTCTACACACATGTAAATATATTTGCACTACCATTTAAGCCTCCTACCCCAGTTATTTCCCTGCACTCTGCACTAGAAAGGAAACTTTCTCTTTTTTATTACAATAAAATGGCTTTTAACGCATATTCGCCGCTCGTTGACAACCCCAATTTCACTTAGAGAAAAATTTATATAACAGTATATATTTTCACCACTTTGCTGTGTTGCATCATCACGTTCGTAAAAAATCGCAAATCGTTATAAACAAATTAGCGCAAATGCGTGAAATTGCCTATGCGAAATTCGCCAAAAATTGTGTAATGACAAAAATTTGGCAAAACTTGCGCTTAAGTAGTTGACGCACAACAAAAAAGTGCCAAAAGACATAGCAACAATAAATGTATGTAAATATATATATATAAATGCCAACCACTCTAAAAAAGCGTTTAGATAAGGACAAAATGACGCAAGTGAATGCCTCAGGAAGTGTAGGAAAAAATCTTCGGCAGCAGTTGTTTGAAGGCAGCAAAAGATTGGGGTAGAAGAGTGGCAGCAGCAGATCTTCACTTTTAACTCAGCACTTTTAAAGCAGTAACTGCATGCAGAAAAATCGTTGACTATAAAAGTTTGTAGCATACTTTACGGCGGCGGCGAACAATCGCTGCCATTAGCTATGTATGCTTTTAAAGTATACACAATTTTCTATACTCTTTTCGGCAAATTTTCAACATAGACAGCATATTGTGCTTATTGCCATTTTGACTACTACACTTTTTTCCTTCGCATGCTGGCGAGAAATCAATGCTTACGTGTATGTTAAACGTCCTTAAATGGCAAATGGCAAATCGAATGCGAAAATATGTTGCCAAATTGTATTAAGGGTAAAAAAATAAATTTTTTAAGTAAATGCTACGAGTGAAAGGCAAGCCAAATTTCAGAAAATTTTCCAGGGCGTTTTTGTTATCCTCCAATGAGATGAGCGGCATGTTTAACCGTACATATATTTGCAGTAATATATTCATACGAATGTATGGGAGTTTAATACACTTATGCACCTCGCATATGTCAAACAAGTCTATGTAAAAAATATACAGATGCTGGAAGTGTATATTACGCGGTAATGTTGTTTTTTTAATCAATGTTTTCTGAGAAAAATTATAAAAAATAGAGACGGTATGCATTACTAAAAATCAAAGCAAACCTCCTTTCAATATTATTTTAAAATTTAAAAGATTTCGATCAGCAACGTTTTTGAGTTTAGAAGATTTATTTTATCACTCAGACTTAAAACCAAACAAAAACAAAATCGTTAAACCTAACTTAAGCTTTGCTACGAAAATTTAATAATTAAATTTAATAATTTAATTTAATCAGGAAAATTATAATTTCAGAGACAAAAACTTATGGTGAGAAAATTAGAAATGAAAACGCTAACAAAAATCAGTGCTTAGAAAAAATACAAAAATGTTCACGTATTTTTTGCTCTTTTTGTTGTTTAGAAAATAAACGTAAAAAATACATCTAAAATAATATTTTCATAAAATTTAATTTATACTATAAAGTTTGAACCTTAGGATGAGATATGCATCCGTACATCTTTCAAATGACCGCCTCATGAACTTTAACAAATTTCTTGAGGATTTATTATTTTTCAAGTGCTTAAGTGTTAAAGGCTTCTCCGCATAAGCACAATCTTTCACGCGACCTCACAACAGAAGTTCAATGGCGTCAAATCGCCCGTTCTCGTTATCCAGTTTGGCAGCGCCAGAGCGATAGATAACACAGCCGGCAAATTTCTCACGCAATAAAGCCGTATTCGTTCTTGTTGTGTGGCACCTCTTCGTTAAAACCATATATTGCCCAAGTGGTGTTCTAAATTTGGAGTCAAAACAAGAGCGAATTCAGCTATTGTCGTTTGACCAAGGAACACACGATGGCTTTAGGCATCTGTAGCAGCCCTTCTATAAGTGCGATTGGATTCTATTAGATGGTATTAGAAAGATTATATTTTTTACTAAAAAAGTTGATGGGAGAAAATTAGATCACTTGGCTCACCAATATATGATTCCTTGACTGAAGTTAAAAATGGATACCAACAGAGAAAAATTGCTAGATATCTGCTACAATAACAGTTAATCCTACACAACTTTGACTCCATCAAATTCCTCCCGGTAATTCTGGTGTAGACGATGCCATTGTGAGGAGGATCCTTTGACGAAAATGTCGAAAAAGATAAAAGAAATCGTGAAGCTTTACCATCATGTGAATACTGCTTCGATTTCCTGGCAGCTAAACATAGCAAAACAAGTAATTTGGAGCACTTGAAATAGGCTGGATATACAAAGTAGCTCGATGTATGGGTACTACATGAGTAACCGAGCTAAAACCTTATGGGCAGAATAGTTGCTGCAGCGTAACAAAGCGATCCACTTCTGAAGCGTACGGAGACGGCTGATGGAAGTAAGGTGGATCACCTATAGCAACGCCAAATATAAACGGGTTTGCTCCAAGGGCAGTGAGCCCGTAAAAACGGTCTTCGAGCTAGAATTGATAACCGGGAAAGTGTTGTTAAGTGTTTCGTGGGATTGGCAAGCACGCAACCACTCTGAGCTGCTCTGTTATGGCCAAACTCTTAATTCGAACATGTACTGTCCGCAGTTGGGCTGTGTAAGGCACTGTTATTGACATCTATGATCTAAACGACTAAAAGTGCCTTCGGCGATTTTTATAATATCCGATTAATTGTGCAAAGAAGTGCGATCAAATTTTGTTTGCGGAACGAAGTTTCGGCCGTTGAAATATTGAGGATACTACAGAAAACCTTTGGAGACTCGACTATGTCGCAGAAGAACGTGTGTAAGTACTACAAAAACTTAACTTGGAGCGCTTGGTAGGACCATCAACGTCAACTGATGTGCAACACGTCAAGGAATTAGTGCACAAAAATCATCGATGAACTGTTAGAGTCCTTACCGATATGGTTGGCTATCAGAAGAATATGTAAAAACGATTTCGAAAGACTAAATTAATTCCAAAAAAAAAACACGCAATGTCATGGAAAAGAGTTGTCGCGTGGATGTGTGTGAAACCATGCCTTCTAACGACCAGGCCAAGCTGAAATTCATGATTACAGCAGATAAGACGTGTATCTATGCTTCTTCTTCTTCTGGCTCTTCCAAAAACTCAAGAGACCTCTTCGAGGACATCGTTTTGAGTCGATACAGGAGATTAAACGTGAATCGGCGCGCTCGGGGGCGACGAAATCGATGTGGAAGAGTAAATTAAGATACCCCCTGCCGGTTAGGGGCTCAAGAATTTACCCGCGGTAAGGCATGCCTGTCGTAGAGGCGACTAAAATCCAATAGTTCCCGCGACAGTCGGGTCTTTATACTGGAACGAACCGGAATTTTATCCAAGGCCAAGGACTGTCACTCCCGCAACATTCCCCAAAAAGTACTTTGGGGAATAATTTTGCGGTTAGAACAACAACAACAACAGTAAATTAAGATTTTTAATTTTACAAAGAAATTCACCTTAATTTTTGTCCACAGATATATTACTTTCTTTGGAATTTAAGTATCATATTGAGGGCGGTGGTTCGCATACGTAGAATTTTTAATCTTTACGATTTTCTTTTAGCTGCGCAATCGCCACATTTGGCGTATGCATTTTGGCATTCCTTAAGAGCTCCATGCGATTCGCGGCAATTGCAAATTAAAAAGTAATCAAATATGACTCGGCTTCAGGCGATAGAGCTCTTAGAACCAACTCAAGTATCCACTCCGCCCGGCTCATAAATTATAATGCCATTAGCAGACACACAAAGCAAAAAAAAAGAAACATAACAAGAAAATGGAAATATTAAAATCAATTAAATTCCGCCAACGAAATTAAATTCTCCCAATCACAAAATATCCAAAAATGTTTTACAAATATTCCCCACGCCTTAAATACTTCGCTTTACTCCTCGCTTTCTTCCAGTTCAGTGACCTAAGCTCAAACGCAATTATCCATAGATAGATAATAGATCAAGTTGTGATAAATGAAAGTGCGCAGTGTGCATAACCATCGACGTTTTAGCCATTTTATCGTGACCGAGAAATTCCATGCTTGATTTGTGAAACACAAAAACTTTTCACGAATTTCAAAAATTTACTAACAAATACATACATACGTGTATGTATATACAGAGAAAGTTTTTAAGTAGCCCACCTCCTCGCGTCAGTCTTTAAGTATGTATGTAAGTGTATTTGTCTAGTCGTGAAATCAAATTAAAGCAAATGTGTGTGTGTGTTTGTCTATGTAGATATATGTGTGAGTAATTGTGTGTATGTATGTGTGTATGTATGAGTGTGTTTGATCCTTTTCAATTTGTAATTCTTATGTTCAATCAACTTGTTTTCCTCATTTATACACACACATACATACATACCTACAAACACGAACACTTGTACTTACATACCTATGTACAATATATATATCTAAGTATCTATCAAACAGCTATTTGTTATCCAAACGCTTGTAGCTTGTCAAAATTTCAAATTAAAATCAAATTGCAATTTATCAGATTAGAGTACCGTTAGCTACTGGACGGCTGCTGTTGTTTTCTGTTTTCAATTTTTCCATTTTTTTTTTTTTTTTTTTTTTTTTTGCTTTGAAGCATTTAGTGGAGTGAGTGTACAACCCAGCTTGTTTTCCCTTGTTCACACATACATATGTATATTGTAT